GCAAGAAAATAGTAGCCTTCTTACTTTTGCTAAGGCTCCAAATGCAGGTGTGAGTTGCTCTCTCAAGAAACTCTTTTCAAGAGTTCCTTTCAAGAGACTATTTAGTTGAACCTCTAGGCATGAACATGTTACATGAATTTGAATTTTCTTATTATTTTTGCTCTCAGTTACTGAAGATACTCAGGCACTGAAAGAACTTTTTTTTTTTTTTTTTTTTTTTGGCAGCACAGGGGTTTGAACTTAGGGCCTCATGCATGCTAGGCAGGCAGTCTTACCACTCAAGCCACAGTGCCAGGCCTCTGAAGGCACCTTTAAAGATCCTCCCCATTTGCCTTCTCCTTTAACTGTGTCCCTCACCTATAGCCAACAATTAGAAGGGGAGAGGATGAGAAACAGGTGGCCATGTTACACAATGTGACCTTATGCCCTGACCACAGTTGGTTGGACAAGAAGGGAGACCCTGACCTATGCCAGAAATTGGTGACCATTCCTAGTGGAATGAAAATTGAAAGAGCAAAGAGCACTGAGACAGAAAGAGTCATTCACCCCATTAGTCATTCCCTATAGGAAGCTGAGGTTGCACATTTTTTGTTTTGTGGACTAGGGAGTGATGAATGCCATCCATAGGGAAAGAGAAAAGCAAAATACATATTCAAGTGAAGCAAAGAGGTGGGATGGATAGGGTGTGCTTCCTGCATTCCTGTGGTTTCTTGTCTTTGTTTCCTTCCAGAGAAAACCCACTTCCTTGCCCTTGAGCTTTTCACATCACTTTTGCATCCATATGCTAAACATTCCCCTTTTCACCCAGTCACAACAACTAACGAACCATTGATGTCATTTATACTGGGTTTCAGGCATCTTTTCCCAGTACCCTGATAGACTTTATCCTGAATGTATTACACCTGAGTCCTCTGTGGTGTTTCCCTTAGTGCCCTGTTCCTACATTTTATACAGAGAAAGGTATGTTCCTCCACTTAGAGCCCACATAGGACTACATTACCTTACCTGCACTCATATTTCCAGTTTGCCTACATCTAACCTGAGCTCTCTTCTCCCTAGGGGAATTCTTATTATCCTATTTCTTAATTCCCATAAAAAGGCAAGGATTTTATTCCACTTCCAGGAGCAATCAGTATGAGGAGGAGGAAGCATTTCAGTCCCCTTTCTCTCACTCTGTGATTTCTTTAGGTAGGATTGGGAAAAGTGATTTGACTCACAGAGCAGGTCATCATCTTCCCTCATGCTCTTGTTTCACCATAGACAGACAGTGTAGAGGCCTGTCAACCTCCCCTAATGCAGATATACACCCTCCCCAGCTCAACAAAATTGCAAATCTCCTTATATTTGTCATGGTAATTATTAACCCTTTAGACTTGTCTTCTGGTTGAGGATAGGAGCAGGGAGCAAGACTCCTGTAGCAAGAAGAGGCAGGTCGTGAGAGGAAGCATTATTTGGGCTGCAGATCCAAGATACATTCTCCAACCTTGCTTTATACGTATACATAATAGTCTAATGTTTGGTCCTATTTCTAAATTGGATAAAGATTCTTAAATAAAAGAATATGATTATTCCCTTGGAATTCTCACAGTCTTAAAGGTCAGGAATGTTGCAGTCCATGAAAGAAATAAATATTCAACTACAGTTGAAGTGTACTCCTTAAGACTGATGCATTATTATCTATTAAGAGACATGTAATCTACCAATCTTAGTTGTTCCCCTTTATTCCCTAAAGTGGTAAAAGGCTAATGTATTCTACCCAGTGGTTGTCCTTGAAAGCCTTTAAGTTTTCCTTGATTCCTCCTTTCTGTCATTAACCACATCAAAACAATCAAGAACTCTTGTTGATTTTACCTTTCCAATGTTTCCTTTATTTCTGTGAGTACTGCCTAAATTCATGCCTTTTATCTACAGTTTTAATTACTGCTATGGATTCCTAGTTGTCTTCTTTGCTTCTAACCTTCTTTTATATTATAAGCGAGGTTTACCTTTGTGAAATAAATATGAGATCAGTCAGTGCCTTGGCTAAATACTTTAGGTAGTCCCTGTTCTTATGGGAAAACCTGAACATAAAAGACCTTCCATGTTCTGCCTCAACCTACAAGTCTTAGCAATTTCATTTTTTCCCATCACGCTTTGCTATGTTGCAGCATTCTATAACTATACCATGCCTCAAGCTCATGCCCCAGCTATACTAATATATTTACTTTTTCTTCAACTCCATGTCTTTTCACATGCAACTCAATGCCCAAGCATTTTAATATTCATGAAATATTCTTTATTGTCTAACTCAAAACAACCATTTAGCCTGGGAGTCTCAGGTAAAAAATTTAAATCATATGAGTAGTAAGTTCACATTTGCTCCTCATTACTGTTTCCAAACCATTCTTTCTCTTTCTCTCCTCAACCCTTCACATTTTCAGGGTTCGTTCTTACATAATTAAATCATGTTACCCATTATCTTTCACTGTTGATATCACCAACCAATATCCAAGTAAAAATTTCTTTCTTCTCCACTTATTTTAGTTCCTGGTACATTTTCACTCTGTCCAGTACTAATTTTGTCTTAATTTTTACAATATTGCCATATTAATATTAGGTAATTCATTCTAACACCCTAGCCTCTCAGTTTCTTAAACTCTCCTCTTCCAGTTATCTGCAGCTTCACACTACCTCAGCCATTCAATTATATGTTCATAACACTGCACCTTCTCATCAATAATTCCTCCTTAATCTCAATTGAATTCATTATATTCTTTTGCCATAACTTCCATCTATCTTTTCATTCCCTCCAGTGCCCCCAACAACACCTTCACAAGGATCTCCAATCCATTCATCTTCCTGTCTTTTCATTGCCTCTAACCTTCTTAATACCCTCTGTATTCTCCTTGTTCATCTTAAATTCCAATCAGCATATTCATTTATTTGTGTATATTCTCAACTCCTTGTCTCTCTCATTCTTGGGAAAGCTCACAACCCTGGCTAAACCCTCCCTTGTGCTACAACCAGAAATAAAAATGAGCTGAGCTTTTCTCCAGTTCCATTGAAGAGTACAAATAGGCAATAATAAGAAAGACAGTGTTTTTGCTAGTTGAGATAAGGACAGGTTCTGCCTGGAAGTGAGGGGGAAGGGGGGCCAAAGGTGGGGGCGGGGGGCAGGGGGGAGAAATGACCCAAACAATGTATGCACATGTGAATAAATGAATAATAAAAAATAAATAAAATAAAATAAACCGAGGGTGAGGTTGGTTTTAGCTGCCATACATTTAATTTTATTTATATATTTAATTGGCATACATTTCCTGATGACATCAGCAAGGGTGAGAACTCAAAAATAAGATAAGAAAGAAAGAAAGAAAGAGAAAGGAAAGAAGGAATGAAGGAAGGAATAAAAAAGAAAGAGAAGAGAATTTTAAAAAGAAAGGAAAAAAACAACAAAAAAAGAATGAGCTGAGGACAAACCCAGGTGGTTATGAACTTCAGTGAGCCCATGTCCTGTGTCATTGATCGTACTAGATTTGTTCAGTCCATTTACTACACTCTACCACCTATTTGATAACTACTTTTTCATCCTCCTGTCTTCTCACACCCACAATAGACCACCTCAGTTTTCACTCTCAGTTAATGATCTTTGATTTCACTGAGAAAATTGAAGCCAAAAAAAAGGACTTCCATAGATTCACACCACCATTATTACCTTCCCTCCAGGATCCACCCACCTGTTTGGGAGAGGGGATTTATGTTTGCTCCTATTTAAAGTCAGTCCTCTGCAAACTAAATACTATCTTGTCTTAATTGTTCAGTGGTATTCCTCTAACAATTTTTTTATTTCAGTTCCTCAATCATGCATTTCTCCCTTTCTACCTAATCTTTCCAATCAGTCAGCAAATCCAACTGGCTTTAATTTCTAAAGTATCCAGAATCCTAACACCTCTCATTGCCGTCACTGTCACCACTCTGATCTGAGCAACTGTCACCTCTTTTCAGAATTGCTACCATATTCTAATTTAGGGATCAGCAAACTTTTTTGTAGAGGGTCATTAGTAAATATTTTCTAATTTTCAGGTTATAAAATCATTGTGGCATCTCTTTTATTGTAATGCAAATGACCATAGCTGTGTTCCAATAAAAACTTACTCACAAAAGGCAACAAGCTGGATTTGGGCCACAAGCCATAGTTGAGCAACCTTTAATCCAAGTGCTCTCCTTCTTTCCATCCTTGCCCCAGTTATCTTTTCTTAGCACAGCAGCCAAAGGATTCCTTTTTAAAACAAATCAGATTGTGTCAATTCTCTACTCAGAACTCTGCAACACCTCCTCTTCTCAATCAGAATAAAAATAAAAGTACTTTCAATGACCTTATAAGACCTTTCATGCTCTGGTCCCAGTCACATCCCTCACTTAATTTTATATCATACTACACTCTCTCCTTCATGCACTCTGTTGCAGCAGCACTGACCTCCTTGCTTTTTCTCAAATAGGCAAGCGTGCTTAAAATGTAGGGCATTTGCACTGGCTGTTCCCTCTTTTCCAAATATCCATGTGGCTTATGCCCTTACCTTATTCACTTCTTGGCTCAAATATCACTTCTTCAATTGAGCCAATGCTGATAACTATTTAAAATTACAATCTTTCCTCATAAATCCCCACTTCCTCTTACTATATTCTATTCTTTCCAAAACTTTACCACTTGCTAGCATGAAAATGGTGTACTTATTTATATATAATACAGTTCAATCTCTCTTGGAGATTCTCTCTTAGAATACAAGCTAAGGCTAGAGGCCTTGGGTTTCTTCCCTTGTGGTAGCCTGAGATCCTAGAGCAGTACCCAGCACTTAGTAGGCATTCAAAAAATATGCATTGAATGAATCTGTGTGGCCTTCCTCAAATCCCAGAGAGGGAGTCAGTTTCTCTTTTCTTTATCTTAACTGTTTGTACATACCACTCTTTTAATCATTTTTATTCTAAATTATTACTTAGAATATAGAAATGTTTTTCCCATTACTGAGCCATGATCTTCTTGGATATTTTCTGCACATTTATTTGCAGAAGCAAATATAGTGTCTGTCATGTTGCAAAAGGTCAAATCATGCCAACTTAATGAATGTGCATAGGTGTTGGATCCGCATCGTTCTCTGACAGGAAATCACTAACTCCACAAGTCGGTTACTATTTCAAAAGTCCTTAACCCCCACCCTAAAAACATGTACACACACACTCTACTAATTGAGATAATTTTAAACTATTTTTCACATATTTGCTTAATTAGCTTGCAATGACCTCTGCAAAAACACTGGCCTCTGATGATTATACGAGGTAGTTTTTTGGCATGGACACCAAAGCATCAAAGGGTCAGTTGGAACTAAGGAAAGCAATAACACAACTGGTTTTAATTACTTAAGTCAGGCAGCTGAATATATCGGACACAGGCCTTCTCCCCAATACATCACTCAAAAAAGGTCAGTTACAGGAAATGGTGAAGAGGGGGAATAAAAGGAGATAGGACCAAAATGTGTCCATAATACAAAGCAGATCATTTTTCACATGGGTGACCTTATTCACTTTGGCTTTTTTATGATGGTCCCAAATCTATAAAATTTCTGACCTCCAAGATTTGGCATGCTTCAATGCTGGTGCTTGGAATAGTGGCTCAGGTTCTCAGAAGAGGTAGGTAAAGGTTACATCCATTAATGAGTCACTGCATAAACCAAGGGGTCCTCCAAAGTTCATCCAGAATTACAAGCATATTTGCAATGAATTCATCTGTGAAGTACAGGTGAGTACCTTCTACCTCTATTAAGCATTCACAAAAGGATTAACTTCATCTATAACTGAGTTAGCTTCTTGGACCTGTTGCTTTGGAAACCAGTGGGGATTAGGAGTTGCTTTGTTATAACCTACACACAATTTTAACACATTTCTCTTATCAGGTACACACACTTAATTAAACTATGGACTTTGGGTTGGCCGTATCCTTAGGTTGTATCCTACAGAGAGAGAGACAGACAGACAGACAGACAGAGAGTTGGGGGAGAAAGAGAGAGATTCCCTGACTAGGCAGGATTTTACCTCAGGCTCTCGCTACAATCTCCCCTCAGAGCTTACCTGATTCCTGAGCTCATCGCCTCTGTTTCTGGGCATTTCCTGGTTCTAGCCACTTTCAGTGTTTGATAACGCTTTGCCTAGTCTTATACATGCCAGTGCTCATGGAACTTCAGAAGTCTTTAATTTTTCAGAAATCAAGACATCTCTTAATCTTTCCACTTTTAACATCATTTTACATACTTTCACTACAAGTTATAGTTCCTGCAATGAACAGTACTCTTTCAAGGAGCTCATAATTTAATAACAGAAATGGTAATTAGGCAGATAACTGTGATGCCACATGATAAGTGGTGTGATATAGCAAGCAGAAAGTAGCACAGATTGGGGCACTTAGCTCAGAAGCTGGGGGTGGTGGTGAGGGAAGTTTCCAGGAGTCAGCAAAATCTAAGCATTCTGGACCAGACAAAAATAATGAAAGATATTCTATGCTGAGGAAGTAACAACTATAAATAGCCTGAGCAATAAATCATGGTTCCATCAGGGAACTACAAATCATCAAGTAAAGCTGCAGGAGTATGGTAAAATAGACTGGAGAAGGAAGCCAGGACTAGATCATGAGGGCTTTAGATACTGTTCTAAGGAGATGGAATGGGAATTCATGCTGCAGGTGATGGGGAGTTACTGAAAGATCATATGTGATATAGTGAGATTTATAATTTAGGAAGTTTGGAATCAATGTGGAAAAGAGACCAGCTCTATGAGTCCTTCCCTTACCAGTGTCTTCAAACAAAACTAGCTCTCAGAATAAGTTTAATAACTTATAAAATAAATATAAATTATCTGATCCCACTTTATAGAACCGAATTCTCATGAGGATGAAGCCTGGGACTCTCTTTGTATGAGTCTTCTCCCAAATGATTGCGAGGCAGCTAGACTATGGTATTGGAGAGCTAACGTAAGACTACCTCTGACATCACTATCTTCCAGGTGTGTTGATAAACAAGAGCAATGTGTTTAGCTTACTACATTATATCGAAGATAACTGGGATAGTTCTCAGTCTGAATGTCTTTCTTCTGTAGTATCTATGGCTGTTCTTTTAGGACCAGAAAAAACTAGTCCCTTACACCTCTCAAAAGCTGCTCCTTCAGTAACATATCCAAACTTTAAAATGACCTAGCTACACGATATGGTTCTTGTTTCTTTCATGCCACTATTCTCTTTATCTTGAACCTGTTATTAATAGTACAGAAGACTGATGTTAACACAATTTACCCTCCAATTTCTGCTTTCTCAGGTAAAGTAAGGCTAGATTATAGAGTTAGGATTAGTGTAAGGAAGATCTAAAAATTTTCTAACAAGAATGATAAATGACTCAACTCACTCAGAGAAAAGGAACTAATAGTCAACCTCAAATTCCCAACTGCGATGGTAACCATGGGACAATTATATTATTTCCTCCATATTCTCAAACACCCAAGAGCAGAAAAAATTGACAACTGTGTGAATCATAGTAAGTCAGAAAGTCAAGAGGTAAATGAATTAAAGATGCTGGTGTAAAATAAATAGAATATTCCTAGGATAGGCCTAAAAAGAAGAGTCTGCTAATTTGGTTCAAATCTTGAAGAAGACTGAAACATGAATATGATTGTTTTGTCACTCATAGTCTTGTTTGGTAATGGTTTACCATTTGATTTAGTTCTGGTCTCTGGTTTTCTCACCTCTGGCTCTGATTCACTTTCTGTTATCCTAGAGTGTGGGTAACAATAGCTGAAAGCTGGCAAGGACAAAGAAGGTGACAGAATTTTCCAGTACAATGATGAAACTACCAAATACTATGAGGTAGTCAATGTTTTACAAGAATTGTTTTCCTCTTTAGTTAGAGCTATGACTTGGAAATAGGGTTTTTATGGTGCTAGCACAGCCATGCAGTAGACCTTCTTTACTTAAATTGGTTCTTTGAATTTTGTGGAAGATTAAACAGATATCAAAATACATAATATGTGCTTCAACAAAGATATAGGAGTGTTTTAAGGACATTAGCACTTATATTTAAACATCCTGCTAATCAAAACTAATTACATTTTTCTTTTTGAAAGATTTTAGATTATTTTTAATTAAGCCAATGCCTTATATTATCTGGTTAGATCAATTTTCAGCTTATCATTTCTTTTGGTGCTTCTCTTTCCAATACACAGTCATTTTGTTTAAGGAACCAAGAGCAGATGCAATGAAGCAGCCAGTGTTAGAAGTCAGTGCCTAAAATTAGATTATTGATGACATTTACTTACATGTTCAAGGCTAAAACTTCAGGGTGCAAAATTTTCTCCTGAAAGGAGATACTGCTCTACCACTGTAATGCAGGCTTCTGTTATCAAATTACATCACTGGGTAGTAAAAGTGGCCAGAAATAGAAAGTGAAACCATATACTTTTTTCTGCCAAGAGAAAGGCTAAAGACAAAAATAAATAAATAAATAGACTTGGTTTCAGAAGACTATTTCACTAGTGCCTTCTTAATTAGGGGAAGATATTTGTTCCAGAGAAATAGAACCAAAGAGAAAGGAGGTATAATATAGCTGACATCAGGACAGGGAAGGGGCCTACCTAGATTTTCTTCACCCATCCAGGACTACTCTATAGCACAAATACTCAGTAACCAAGATAGCTTAGAATTTGTGAGTTTTGTTTCTTTTTTCTGTTTCCACACACTTGTATAGTTTAGGTGTATACAGCAACTTTGGCTTATTAAAGTACTTTTCTTGATGTTTCACTCTATCTTTCAGAAAACTCACATCTCATTATTGTACATGTATATCTAAACATGTGCACATCAGAGTGTGTGCTTATATCATTAGTAAAAACTTGGACATATCACATCATCAATCATTTCTAGACATGCATTGTATCCTTCTCTCCATTTCCATCTGCATTACAAGGGGCACCTCTTGGAGAGGCACCCCATTCCCAAAGCACCACTGCACAGTCCAGTCTTTCATTTCCACTGCTGGTCAGGAGTGTCTCCCACTGTTTAGTGCAAACATCCACACTGGAACGCACTGCTCCGGGAAGCCATCTTGCTTCTGCTGGCCCAGCACCACCAGCCCACTCTTCCTAATGAGGCTTTGGAAGATGTCCATGTTCCGAGTCACACTGCTGTCAGAGAGATCGAAGATGCAGCCCTCCCGTGCCACATTGTCCTTCAGTACAATGACACCATTTTCTTTCAGGCCATCTCGGCACCGGGAAAGAAAGGCAAGAAGATCCTTATCAGTCAGGTATCCTATAAGTGGGGTCAAGTTGGTGGGGAAATAGGGTGAAGCAGTGGAAGGGGGCAGGTGAGTAGAAAGGAACACAAGGCTAGGAATCAGGAGACTGGCCATTTGTTCACTCAGTCACATATTACTTAATAGCCTCAGTTGTCTTAGTTGCAAGAGTTTAAAAATTCAGATAAAATGACACATATCCTCTTTTAGAGGGCTCAATTCCCTGTCTTTAAAATAAGAGCAAGGGGCATGGCTCAAGTGGTAGAGCACTTGCGTAGCAAGCACAGGGCCCTAAGTTCAAGTCCCAGTTCCACAAAAAAGATATATTTACCTGCCCTGTCCACTCCACAGTCATGAGATATGAGATATATTATTGCCTATCCCAGGAGTTCCTTCATGTCCTTGGACAAACCCAGCACCAGCATCACTCTTCATGGCTCCTACACACACACACCCCAAAATCTAACTCATTGCTGGCTCAGTCCCTAAAGATTTAAATCTAGGAATGTCTAGTTCTTCCAGTACATGGGGATTCACCGTTTGGGGCCCTACTTTTTAAATATTTTCAAGTATTTACATTTCATTGATGATTTAGTTTGGTCCAAAGGCCGGTGCTCCATTCCCAAGGGTAGGAATTGTCAAGCTTATACAGAGAATATTAGGGGAGAAGTTTGAAGTTTCTTGGAGTTTACATGACATGTAGGGCTAGCAAACTTCCCTATGCACAACTACAGCTAAATCTCCCTTGTGCCTTCATTAGCCCCAACTATCGTTTTCCCTAGCTGGGAAGCAGTGAAAGGCCAAGGCAACACCATGCAGGACTAACCCGAGACCCACTGAATCCAGATGACATCATATCTCCCAAGGCGGGGTGTAAATTCCTGCAGGCCATCGCAGTGGTAGTTTTCTACTTTGTCCCCTTTGACTTGCAGGTAGCTCTGGGCTTCAAGGAGGAAAGATTCCATCATGTCCACCAGTTCCACACTGTCGAAAACTGGCAACAAGACGTGCTTGCTGACTCTTCCTATGCCAGAGCCACAGTCCAAGGCACAGTCAGTCCCAGCTCTCCCCGGCCCCTGCAGAAAAACACCTGGTGGGCCACATCCAGTACAGAGACTCACCCTGAGTCTCAGACACTACAATTACCTCTTTCAATCAATTTTATTTGGGTCAATTTTATACAATAAACTGTGCCATCTTAAGTGCACAATTTAAATTTCTACAATGGAGATGACCATTTCCCCACGATCACAATCTATATATAGAACACTTAATTACTTTTATCAAAATTTTGATATTTTTATCAAAATATTTTGATAAAATCCAAATATTTCTAATTCTACTTTGTTTTTCCCACATATACATCTTTAAAAGAATTGCTATTAAAAAAATATCTTAAGGAGTCAGGCACAGTGGCTCAAATATGTAATCCTAGCTACTTGGGAGGCAGAAGTTAGGAAGCAGAGATCAGGAGGATCACAGTTCCAGGACAGCCTGGGCACAAAGTTCATAAGACCCATCTCACCAATAGAAGGCTGGGTATGGTGGCCTGCACCTGTCATCCTAGCTATGCAGGAAGAATAAATAGCATCGTGGTCCAGACTGGCCTGGGCATAAGACCCATTTGAAAAATAACTAATCCCAAAAGGGCTGAGAGAATGGGTCAAGTGGTAGAGTGGCTGCCTAGCATATTTAAGGCCCTGAGTTCAAACTCCAGTACCACCAAAAATATAACAATAATATCTTAGGTTTAAATACTTACAGTTCTCTCCAAGGAATGATCCATTGATAGCCCTATGAAGATAGAACTTTAGCAACTATAATTTGGGTTAAATCCAGAGTGGAAGTCTTTCTGAGTTTAAAAATTACATTAAAAATTCATTCCATGGAAACATTTCAGTTCATATGGTGATGACTGAAATTTTATTTTTTCTAAACTAGATTTTTGGGGACTCTGAATTATCTACTCCATAAAGATGGTAAATTTTGGGATCTAGCTGAGGGATGCTAATTGTTCCATTTTCTGGCCAGAATTTAATTTCAAATTGAGCCCTGATGGCACTCAGCATGCTAACATGGATAAGGGGTAATTTCAGCAGTACCCACATTCCTTTACTGCTAAAACATGTTTTTTTCTTTTTGTGCCAGAAACTACATGTTTACTGAAAACTGATTATTTTTCTTAAAATTAGTCTGTGCATTAAATTAACAGGAAGTGAGGGATGGGGAGGTGTTGGGGGTAGAGAGAAATTAACCAATGCAAACTTTCTGAAACTTGCTTCTATACCATTAAAAAACACTTCTGATTTATGAAGACTCAGCTGGTCTAAATTATTTAGTCATAATTGGGATGGCTGCTGAATAGGTTTTGTGCTAGGAATTGCAGTAACGAGATACTTGAAGTTACCAATCAAGATCTTAAGGAGAAAGCCTACTCTTGATTTCTCAGGAACTAAGGATAGAAAAAAGGTTTGGCTAAGGATCAAAGGTAAATATGAACAGAAGGAAACATCAAAAAAAAAAATCTGCCTTCCAGTCCATCCAAAAAGCTTTCCTTGTGCTAGAAAGGTACAATGATGAACAAAAAAGTGAAGCAATTATAGCTTCATTTCAAATGTAATAATGACCTTAAAAAGTGAGTGTTTGTATGTAGCAAACTCTTTATATCTATAATAATTAGAATAATAAAAATTGCACAAGATAATGATTATTCCCACTTTGGAAATGAGAAAACTTGGTTTCTAATATTGCATAGCTAATGTCAGAGCTAGAATTTGAACAGGAACTGTCTGAATCCAAAGCCAGGTCTACATTAGGAATGTCACTTCAAGTGACAGCTCTGATTACCGTGGTAGTGTCTGTCTGTGGCTATATTCAGAAGAATTCTAAGGTTTCATTCAGACTCAGCAGGAAAGGGATCTATGATTGATTAGTGATGTCTGCCTTGAGTATAGAAAGGGGAAATGCATTGCCATATGTTTGTCATTTCTGCTTATACTAGGCTACTTCCCTCATCCAAATATTGTGATTTAAACTAAACCAATTCAGAAAAAGGTCTAGGTTAAAGGTTTCTATTGCAAATACTGCAACAGCCAGCATTTCCTAAGTAAACTCATAATAAAAGAGGGGAGAAAGTACAAGGAAATTATTTTAAGCTTCCAGAAATGACTTTATTAGAATTTGCATGCTCAATAAGAGATTTCCATTACAACATTTTCTTATAATTACTTGGCCCTGAAAGTCCAAATTGGTCATGTTGCTGTCTATAGAGTATCAAGTGATTTTAGAAGTAGAACCATGGAACATAAAGACCTTAGAGATCTACAAAAGAAAATTTTAGGAAGATAATAACAACTGAACCTCTTTTTTTTTTGGATATTTTTTGTTGTTGTGCTGTGGGAGTACATTGTGGTATTTACAAATGTTCTTACAATGTATCAAGAATATTATACTTGAATTCACTCCCTCTTCCACTCTCCTTTATCCACTCCCTCCATTCCTGGAATAGTTTTAACAGGTATCATTTTTACATTTGCAAATATATGTACACAGTATTTGCACCATATTTACCCTCCTACACCCTTTCCCTGCCACCTCTCCCCTTCCTGCACTGGTACCAACACTCATCTGGGCAGGACCTATTTCTTTTCAATGAATAAATAAACATGAAGCTGCTCTGTTAGAATTGAGACAGGGTCTTGCCCACTCAGACCTCCCATCACTCTTCAAGGAAGCCCCCACTTTTCACACAAAGAAACTGAGACCCAAGGAGGTAGAATATTTAAAGCAGAACGTCCTTGAAGATTCTCATCTCTAAATCACATTTTTCTCCAAATTAGATGTGTGATATTTGCCCACAGTTATTCTTGAAAATATTGCTATTTACAATCAGAGGTAAAATAATGTGTCTTCAACTCAAATGCTGTGAACCTCCAGCCTTTCCTCAAACATTGCCTCGTTCTCTTCATTCCACTTAATTCTGTGTGGTTGGCACTGGCTCCCATATCCTGGCACCACTGTTCTTTTTTCTGTCTCTTATTCACATGCAGCTTCTGTGAGAAGGGTATTTAAAGACTGATTTCAAGGACTACTCTTTCACCTTTTAGCCACCAAGACTGCAGAAACTGTGATTATATTAAAATCTGATGCCCTTGTGTGAAAGTAACTAGAACTACAAATAAGTTTTGTTATTTACATTTTTATTTATTATATTGTCTTCACATTTATAGATTCATATAAAATAATAAAATTCTACTAGCAACTTCATTTTAGTTTGATTCTGCCAATACATCTTGTTTTGAAGAATATGATTTTTAGCTCATCCAATGGAGGTGACAACTAAAATGAAATTGCTTAATGCCACTGTATAAAAACCATAAAATATGTCAAGTTAGATCTAGATGTTTTAGTCATCCAATCTCTGAGAAATATCAAAAAAAAGAATGACATCAAATATTTTTTATGAATTGTTATATTACACAACTAGAAATCTAAAACTGAGGAAAAGTATCAGATATACTGTTGACATTATCTTGGTATCATTTGTATATTTGCTAAAGTAAATACATTTGTAACTAGATTAAACAGTTTTTCCCACTGTCTCATGTTGCTAAGTGTTGAAAGGAAAGCAAAACTTTAAATTAAACAATCTGCCTTTTCCCAGTTGACACAAGAATAAATCATGTCAGATATTTCTATTCCCTAACTCCTTGTTTCTTGACCTAGATACTAATTTAGCAGATCATTAAGGTCAAAGTACTAAAATATCATTTCTTAAAAAAAGATCATGTTTGTACTTAGAGGTCACAGCTTTACAATGAGACTTGTCTACTAAGAAGGACTCCTTATATTTGTTATTTGAAAGGAGCAAGCTGCCTCTTTTCCAACATAAATATGCAAGCTTAAAACTGTTTCCTTTCCCAGGTCTGTGGGCGTGCTTATAGGCTCTGTCTGACCAGCATCCCTGCGGTCCGCTTGGCATTCCACACCCAGTGACAAGACAGCTGGATTACTAACTAAGCTTCTGAAATATTTCAGGATCAAAGTCAGCCTCACCATGAGGCAAGCAGGAGGGATAGCTTGGGCCAGAATGGAGGAGAGTTGAGGTCTATGGTCCACAAGGGAAAAAAAGCAGGGATATTCTGCTTCATAAGACAAATGGGAAAAACATGTTGTGGTTGAGAGCAGAGAGTATGGTGTCAGACAGACCTGGCTGGGTTTAAGTCTCTGCTCTGCTTCTTACCAGTGTATACCCTTGACAACTTATTCAACCTTTCTATGCCTCCATTTTCTTCTACTATAAAAATGGACTTACCCATAAGAACTGTTGTGAAGAGGAAATGAGATGGTATTCCTAAAATGCTTAGCAGAGTGAATGACCATATTAGAATGAGCTATTTAGGAAATAAGTCACCAACACTAATTGAGATATGCTCCAGGTTAATTTACAAACATCCAATGCCATCATCCATAGACTTCCTAGTCTTTTATGATGTAACTTATGTCAGAAAGACACTTTGGCCCCAGTAGCTATCCCATCCTGATCACATTTTCTCCATTCCCAGGCTTGGTTCTCAGGCAATAAGTACTCCAGGGAGGCTGAGTGTGAAGCAAACTCACCCTTAACCCTAGGGGTGGTGTTCGTACTATGCTGCTGAGTAGGTTGACAGTCTAATCCAAAACCAAAAATTTATAATGTTTCCTCAGTCAGAATAGACTCCAAATTTCAGGTAAATAAATTTCAAGATTTATGCAAATTGAAGAGAAATCAGAGTACAAAGAAAATGACTTTGTAATGAATTGGAACAACCTTGGTTGCAAATTAGGAGTTTTATTATCAGTAGATCAAAAGCATCTTTATTATGTGGGTTAAGGCTATTCTAACAACCAAATGAAGTTCCTTAAAATGCAATGAATGCAATATAGGACATCTTGTTATTAGTAGGAGCAGCTATAAATTAAGATTTACTGAATACTAATTTTGTGCACTGATGAAGGTACTTAAAGTATACCAGTTCATTTGATCTTCACATGTTTCTATGAGACCAATTCTATTGTCATGCCCTCATCATGGATGAGAAAGCTGAAGCTTAATGCATTTAAGCAACAACCCCAGGGTTGCTTATACAATAGGTAAATAAACCATGATGATTTTAGAACCCAAGATTTCAACCCTTACATTATACTACCTGTTTCCATATAACCTGGAAGTAAGAAAGTAGAGGCTCAGCCATAACCAGGACTACCAAGGGATCATGTTCCTTCAAAAAAATGAAACTGAACTATGTATAAAATAATATAAAGGGACTCTATCATCATTTTTAAACTGAACATAAGCAAGCATTTCCTTATTACATTAATTTTTACTGTAAGAAAATCAATAAATCAATTCAAAATCCCAAAAGCATCAATTATCTGGCTGTCAATTGCAAATCTTAAGATTCTAAAAGAGATGTCTTCTTAATTCTCAAATGGTAATACCAGTGCTGCTAGTTCGCCTTCCCCTGAAGCATGTAAGATTATCAGGAGCGAGGAAGGTGAAAGCCAAGCGGGATAAGCTGGGGGTTATTGAGGGCCAGCCTTTGTAAGACTCTTAAAACAGGCTTTCAGGCTGAATTCTTAACTGAGCCATATGGCTTTGACCTACTTGACAACACAGAAACATGTGTTGGCCTCTCACCAAACTTTGGTTAGACAACTTACCCCAACAAATTTCCTAAGAAATTCACGAGAGGCCTGGATATCTGGGTTGGATAATTCAATGAAATTACCCATCATGCCTTCTTCTGTGGCTGGTACTTCTTGGTAGAAGAGTTTAGCTCTGGCATAGAACTGCATCTCACCATTGATGACTTGGCTTGTTAAAGCATACAATTTTACTGCAAATGAAATATTATTAACAGGTATTAATATTTATATGATAGAACAAGCTCAATCTTATCATGTATTGTTTCTTCTTAAAAACCCATGAATTTGTGCTATGGAGGAAAAGGAGTTGGTTTGAAGTCAGAAGACCTGCATTTGAGTTCTGGATCAGTGACTTGCGTGCTATGTAACATTGGGAAAACTTAAACTCTGTCATTCCCCATCTATAAGTCACAGTCATCTATAAGTCACAGTCATGTGGCATTTTCATAATTTAATAACTTTATGTTTAAAACATGATTTACCACTGCATTTTTTAAAACACCTAACAGTATTTGCTACAGTAAAATAATCTCATCAGTTTCATGGTGATTTTTTTTCTTTGAACTCCAAATACTTGATGGTAATTTTCTCATTAATCTTTACTTAAAATCCCAAAGTTGGGGTAGCTATTTTCCATTTCTTTTTTTATGATTTTATTAGTTGTACAGAGGAATACATTGTGATATTTACATATGTGCTTACAATATATCTTAGTTGGATTCATCCCCTCTATCATTTTCCCTCTTCTTCCTCCGCCACTTCTTGGAACAATTTCAATAGGTTTCATTCTTCTATTTTCATTTATGGATACAAAATATATCCACCCTGATCCCCCTTTCCTTCTGCCCAACCCCCCTTTTCACTGGCACCCACACCCATATGACAATAACATTTTTCCTCCCATCCTTCATTTTTTTTATTGAGTGTATATTGGTAGTCCAAGAGGGTTTGGCCTTGGTACTCCAGTCCATATATATTGTGCTTTAATTAAATTAATCCCCTCTCCCATTACTTACTCATTCTCTACCACCACGCTCCCCTAATATTCAACAGCTTACGGTACAGTACATTATATTATATTCATATGTAGACGGGTTGTTTCAATACTTTTCATTCTCTAACATTTTCTTTATCTAAAGCAAGGTATTTTCCAGTATTTTTATACCAACATAACAGAAATGCAATTGAGCTCTCACTTCCAAAAATAAAATAATAAAAAGAGAAATAATATTTATTGAGCAGCTATTCTGTACTAGCTAGTGTTCACAAAGTCTGTGTAATTTTTAGAAAAAAACATGTGTTCCAACTTCTGAGTGGTGAGAGTGCATTTAAGTGTGTTTTATAAACCAAAATTCACTCATAATATAAAATATTTTCATTAGAAGCCATTCAAAAAGAAATGACAGAAAGTGAGGGACCTTTGATTCAAAATCATAATGAGTTTATGCTTTTGTCTTCCTTCCCTCTAATATTCAGGGAGAAATTTTGTAATAGAGTGAACCCATAATGATGAAGAAAATGAAATAAGTGTCTGGAAGAGAAAAAGCACATGGGACAAAGCTAAATAATTTGCAGACCAGAATGTTCGCAAGGAGAAATTGCATTCCAGATTTAGAGTCCATAAGAATAAGAAGGAGAATAGAAGCCAAAAACATAAGAGTTAATTAAAATTCTGTCTACAAACAACCAGGTGAGGGGACAAGTGCGCTTTCCTGAAAGCAACAAATAGCACAGCTATAATTGAAGTAGGTAGAAAATATGTCTCTTCTAAATAAATAAATTAAATAAATAATAAATAAATAAATTGCTGAGAGAGAACTAGCCTCTAGCATTGGGATTCAAACTCTGCTTCTTTAACATACAGAAAACTCTTACATGTTTCATGTGCTTTCATTCCTCAGAGTTTCATAAGGTCTACCTGCACACGTGATGCTTCTTGTCATCCTTTCCATTTAGGGAAACAAAGAAAATCTTATCCATAACCTATAATCATTTACCTTGTCCTTTACTTCTAAAAAGTGATGGTTAAAAAGTGATCTGCAAACTCATGAGAGTAAAATATCAGCCTGAAAGAAAAAGATTAAGATAAGTGATCATAATTGACCCCAAAGGAAATAGAAATAACTCAGGAAATTGGTGAGAATTTAAACTAAAGTGGGGGAGGACTCATATATACTTGAAGACATATAAGAATGGGTATATCCATCAAAGATAAGATGCCAAAAAATAACAGTTCAAACACTAACAAAGAATTCTTAGACATTAAAGTTTTAATTACCAAAAACTCTGGAATATGACAATGAATAAATTTCTAGCACTTAAAGCAAAAAGACAAACATGGAAGACAGAACTAAGAAGATGGTATCCACAAAGACTTAATCTAGGAGGTATAACATCAAGACAGTTAGAAAGCTAATAAAATGGAGAGAAGAAAATTATTACAGAGGATTTTCCAGAGCCAAAAGAAGTAAGACACAAGTGCTGAGCAGCGTAGATTTTTTAAAAACCAAATTACACATATCCTTAAGAAATTTCAAAACAGAAAGGCTAATAAGAAGATCTTAAAGTCACTTCAAAGGGAAAAAATGGTTGAACTTAAATAGGGCTGCCAAATTTAGAAAATAAAAATACAGGGCCCGTAGTTAGATTTGAATTTTAGATCAAAATGAATAATTTACTAGCATAAATCTACCTGAAATATTGCAAAGTACACAGAACATATATAAAAACTATTTGAAGGGTATGTTTGATTCAGATTTAACTGGAATATATTATTTGGCAACCTTTTGTTGAAAGGATTTAAATCAGGCTTATGTCATGAATTTTATCAGAAACACCAAAAAACAATGATGAAATACCATCAATATTCTGAGGAAAAATTATTTTGAAGCTAAATTAAAAACCAAGTTAAACTATCAAAGAGTATTTACCTCCCATGGATTTTACTCCAAGTTTCTTGAAGCTATATTCCAGCCAAAATGAGGGTTAAGATCAAGAGAAGACTCACGATGAAAGATGACGTAATTAACCCAGGAATCCAATGAAAAGAAATCCCCAAATGACAGCTATTTATCAGATCTGGAAAGAAATCAGTTTACATTATAAGAGAAAATATAGTCTGGATCCCAGTCAGTAGATAAAGTAACCAAGAAGCAAGGAGACATTAGTAATAGACTAAGGAAGATATGTTTTTAATCTCAATAACCAAAAATAAGAGAGTTGAAAGACCTAGGCAAATTTACAATGATTCAAAAATATTATGATCATGATATGAGCAAACCAAAATATGGCATAATTTTAAGTAAAGGGACTCTAAGAGAAAATCCACTTAATTCTAACTAAGAACATTTATTCTTAGATAATCCTAAAACTGTGACATTGAACTAGTGTATGTTTGCCTCTAAACCAAACAATGACATACTCACAAGTTTTTATTCTAAAATTTAAAAAAAGTCCAATTAATACCTTAAAGAGCCAATACTTGGACCCTGAATGATCATGTGTTTGCTGAAGGGTTGTGCAGGAATCAGTTTTCATGTACATCGTTTTCTGGAGACTAACAATAGTATACACTATCACCCCAGCATTGAACGTTGTTTTTTGTTGTTTGTTTTTTTATTTTTTGTCATTTCTTTTTTGGTGTCTTGAGCATGCTAGGCAAGCATTCTACCACCAAGCTACATCCCAGCCTTGAAAGTTGTTTTAAAAATAAAATTTTTTGATAATGTTAATAAATGCATAGAAACTTTTGTCATTTTATACACAAAATAGCTACTTAATAAGAAAATACAAAATTAAAAATAGGGTTCTCATGTTAAAGAAAAAAAAAGGTAGGAACCAATGACCTACACCAGTCTACTTCCCTAGCACTTAGTAAAGTGCTGTGTAACAGTAGATCGTTCAATAAATGTTTATAAATTCAGCAGGAATGACAAAAATCAGGCATCACTTCCAATAATATGACTTCCAAATTCTTCTGAATTCCTCAGAAAATCAGGCTACGATAGTTCACAGTGTCTGCCCAGGGCTGAATGCCTCTCCGGGATCACTGGACAGCCACAGCTCAGGGCTCTCCTTGATCCAACCAAAGCAGCAAAGCAGCCACACTCATCACCACCTGCTTAACTCAACTAGTTGGCAAAGTGTATTAAAACCTTTAATCTGTAAATGGGAATGGTCCATTATGCCTGCAACATTTAGACCACAAGTGAATACCAAGCTCAGCAGGTGTCAGCCTCAATAGGTGAGCTTTTATGGTTATAGGCTTGAGTTCTCATTTTCACCTAATTGACAGATGCATTTCACTAAGAAAAACATATATATATGAGGTGTCATGGCTGGCCCCAGGTTATCCCCTCCTGATAAGTCTTGTAATGGTGTATATCGACTCAGGTAAGGCAATCAGTCCCAGACCATGCCTTTTTACCATGGAAATACATGTAGTGGCTTGTTCTCAGAATTGTAATGTCACTGTGAAACTTGGGGTAGTCTAAGACAAGAAATAGACACTATATTCTTGATATAAAATATACTTTTTTCTTGATCCACATTATGAACTGAACTACCAAGAGGATTTTCTAGCTGCTTACTGTTACAAAAAAAAAAAAAAGTACAAGTTCATTGGCCCTGAAGGAGAAAAAAAATATTTTGTGAATTTTCTAGGAAAGGTGAATATCCAAGAGAGGGGACAGCAAGAGTCCATTCACTATGATTTCATTATTAGGCACCAATACAATCCTCAGAAACATGAAGACAAGAAACATGAAGCGAAATCCCTCTCTTATGCAGATTATAGTATGGCAAGGAAGGGTTAAGTCATGTATCAGTGCATCCCCAGCGAATGATACAAACAACAGCTGTCCTGAGGACCAGCATCAGCATGTGCCTGCCAGCTGAAGCAACTAGGGAAAGATTCAAAAAGATCTCAGTCATGAAGGATGGTTTATTTTGGCTAGCAAAAAGTTAGGAAGAAAGGAATTATACATGGTGTGGATCATCTTGATAAAAATGCAGATTTTTTTCAAATGTCTCAATTGAGAAAATCTTTTGCAGGTAACTAAAGAATTTTGTTGCTCAAGTTTTCAGGTTCTGACTCTAAAATGTAAAGAAATTGAATTTACCTTGAGGTAATATGCTATGTAATAGCTTTTACTAACTCAAAATCTTAAAACGGACTTGAAAGGAGATATTG